TGATCCAGGAAGGGGCATAACTGCCACACGACACGAAGTCGTGCAAAGGCCCTCCTGGCCATGACTGCCACCTGCTCTTTGAGCAGGGGTCGTGAGTCCAGGAGAAACCCCAAATTACGCACCGGGGCTGTCTGGGGTAGTGCAACCCCGTCAAGAACCAAAGATGACAAAGTCCTAGATCCTGAGGCTCCCCGTATCCACAGCCACTCCGTCTTACCAAGGTTCAGCTGAAGCCTGTTGTCCCCCATCCAGGCCCCCACAGCCTCCAGGCACTGGGAAAGGGCAGTCACAGCATCACTTAAGGCACCTGGGATGGAGATGTATATTTACATTTCAAAGCCCATAACACAAAAGATGCTTCCTCAGAAGGATTTTTTTTTTTTGCATCGGCCCGTTTAGAACAATATTTTCACTCACCATGCACCCATTGCATGATCTCATGTAATAGTGTGGAGGCCTCCCCCATTTTAAAAATTGTCCCAAATCTAGTAAGATCATGATACCTCAAGACATCATGAGAGAAGACCAAAATCTCACATGATCCTATGGAAGTGGCCTTTAAAAAAAATTAAATTGGTGGATAGTGATCTATGGATGCCATCTAGTGGTATCCTAGAGATCTTGTGCCACATTGCCAACTCCTGTTTGAAGCTGAGATTGAAAAGCTGCAAGAGAGTTTCAATACATTTTCTGCTCCAGTTATCTTAGAGCATGTTTTGCGATATGGAAGTGCGCATGCCCCTATGGACACAACATAAATGAAAATCCTTTTGCACATGATGATGCAGCTTCAGTCTTTGGTGCTTGCCTTGCACATATGTAACTTTAAGCTTAATCTTGAGAGGACAGCATGATTAGGTAAAAGCAGTCCACCTGAATATCTTTGGATCCAACCCACACTCAGGATAATCAGAAGGATTATTTCACAGAAAGTTAGAATAGTGAGAATGGTCACAGCATCCATTAATTTTGAAATCACACTAAAAATCGTGTACTCAATGGCTAAACATACTTCGTTTCTAATTTGTTAATTGATTTTATTTCATGAACTGAGAACTTGAAATGCAATGTATTATATTTACAATCCAGAGGACCCCCAAGTTAAATAGTATTCATTTAATGGCAAAGTTCTTGATTATAAGGGAAACTAAAGCTGAACATGTACTTTGGATTTTAAAAAATGGATTTCAATAGAACTAATTGTGGGAATACTATAGATATAATTTCAACAAAGCATTTGAAAAATATATGATGAGCGAGCTAGTTAAATGTGGGTTGGATGGCATAACAAAAGGATTCAAAAATTACACTCATAGAGCCCTCACTGATGGCTCCTCCTCAAACAGGAGGTGGGATGCATAAATTCACTCTTGGGATTTGTGCTATCAATAATTTTTATTAATGAATGCTTGAAGAGCTGAAGAGGATGATTGTCAAATTTGCAGATGACATAAAGTTAGGTGGGATAACTAGATGACAGAAATTACATTCAAAATCATCTTCATAGGTTAGAGCAGTAGGTTGAAAATAACAGAATTAAATTTTACAGAGGCAAATGCAAAGTTATACATTTAGAAAACTGAAATGAAATGCACCTGTATAAAATGAGGAACATCTAGCTTGGTAAAAATAGTTATGAAAAAAAATGGACTAAATAGTTGATTACAACGGAGCGTTAGTCAACAGTGTGCTGTGGCTGAAAAAAAGAGATATGTGACTTTAGGCTGTAGTTCCAGTTTATTATCTGTTGGCCACACTTCGAGTAGTGTGTCCAGTAAGATTATTTTATTTTATTTTATTTATTTTACTTTTATTATTTTATTTTATTTCTCAGACTGCTATGCTGCTTCAAACTATAGACTCTGAGCAGCTGACAAAAACCTCAATTTAGTATTGAGGTTAAAAAAATTAAAAGAAAAACGGCAACACTCCAGTGGCAGTAGTCATTTTTCCTTTTCTTCTGGGCAATTTAAAAGGGATTCATACAAATTGTAAAAGTTCAGAGAAGGTCAACAACAAAGATAATCAGGGGACTAGAAATTTCTGTAAAGACAGTTTGAAGGACCTGGGAAAGTTTTACCTTAAGAAGTAAGTGAACACCAAAGATAGATAAAATTACAAATATTTGAAAAAGAAAAAGGTCAGCACCATTCTCCATTCTTCTGGAGCACAGGATTCAAAAAAATGGATTTAAGTTAAGGGAAGGCAGACTTTAATTGAATATTAGGAAGTTTTACATTTGATGGTGGAATCAGTTATTCAATGAAATAGTAAGTTTTCCCTTCACTGGATACATTCAGGCAGAGGCTAGATGAGCCTGTGGTTGGGATGCTTTAATCTGGATTCCTACACCAAGCAGGGGGCTGAAGTGAATGACTTAACTAAAGAAGAACATTTGAAGAACCAAACAAAAAGGAAAGAAAGAAATTGCTGATGTTCTGGTGCAAACAGACAGACAGGATAAGCCACAAAAGACAAGAAGTGATGTCAAGACATGATTGCGTAACCTATTTGACAGCTGTGATAGCAGTGTATGTCTGATGAGGAGGACTATGTTGTAATCTGGAAGAAATAAGATTGTGAAACCCTGAAGCCTGAAGAAGTTTTGTATAAAGTAGGATTAAATGAGAAGCTTGGAAACAGTTGGTGAAGAAAGCAACAATAAGCATTAGGACTCTGATGTCAAGAATGAGGGTCATCTTGGAGCTCTGATTAAGAACTCTAATTAAGAACTAAGCTTTTGCCCTCTCTTTAGAACTGGGTAAGCATTCCTATACACTTTGGCTTTTGTCCATCTTGTTACATTTACAGTATATTGTAGACTATCCTAGGGAAGTTTATGCATTGGAATGTAGGACATTGATTGTTTGATTCAAGCAGTGATTTAGGAAAAAAAATATTGTATTAGGTATTGAACTTTACAGCCAACTAAAATTGAGGAAATGATTTAAATAGAAATAAAAAATTTGAAGAAGTCTGTTCAAAAAGGAGAAAAAAGAGCAATTCCTAACATTAAAGACAACCAGTTCAGAAAGAACATAAATATAATGTATAAAATTAACTGAGAGTGACCAATTATTACAATCAAATCTAAATGATGTGATCTTCAGTCTGAGGTACATAACTGCTGCTAGATATTTAGCTTTACAAAGAATACCAAATGGGTAATCTCCTTCAAGTCAGAGTATTGTATTAAAATTGAACAGTCTCCCTTGAAAGTATTTAAACAAAGGATATGTAGTATTCCCTCAGTTCTTTAACTTGAGGATATGCTACAGTTATTCAATATAGCCATATAGAGAAGAAGAGACATATTCCAGTTTGAAGTTCTTTAGGTGTCCTACATAGATAACTCTATTCTCAAGATCCTTAATTTCTCAGAGAAATGAGAAAACTATACTGGTAAACTGTAAGAATACATAGGTAACTTCCAGCCATCTTATTTGAGAATAAGGGGATAAGCACAAAAATCAAGCCTTTAACTCTTCAGAGAGCCTGCTGCTGAGAATCTTCTCCTTTTCTGGAGGTTTCAAATGAAACGCAGCCCATTTTTTTCCATTTTTTAAATTAATTGACTCATGACTTTGTTTTTTTGAACAGATGGTGTTATTAACCTGAGCATACCAATTGTACTTCCAATATCTACCGAAGACAAGAAACGTCTGGAAGGATGCAGTGCATTCACCCTGGAGTACAACGGGCGGAGGGTGGCAATCCTTAACAACCCAGAATTTTTTGAACACAGAAAGGAAGAGCGTTGCGCGCGTGTCTGGGGAACCACTTGCTCAAAGCATCCCCATGTAAAAGTAAGCAAATACAAAAATCAGTACTATTTTTGCCTCCATAAATATGAATAAACCATAGGTCTCTTGCAGGGGTGTCTGGGGCTGGGTCAAGATAGCAGCCACAACCACCTGATTGAAGGCCTGCCCCTTTTCACATGGAGGGGCAGGGCTTTGATTGTGCCATTGCACTACCCACCTTAATGTTTTTGACAATACCCCTGGCTGTTGATGCCTTGGTCCACTGTGATACTTTTCACTGCATTCCATCATTTACAGAAAGTGATCAGTATGAGTGAAGGTTAGATCCATACTGGGGAAGGTTTGAAACACTAAGAATTCTTGGCTACAAGTTGCTCCCAAACTATGGAATGTACTCTCTCCTCACTTTTTCTGCTTTTAGGCCTTCCTTTTTAGCTAGGTTTTTCTGTTTGAATTACTTAATAGTTGATTTTAACTGTTTTTATCAGATGTTAATTGTTTTTGTGTGTACACATGCTTTAACGCAACCACCTTGAGTAACCTTTGGGCAGTGAGAGGATGCAAATCAAAATAATAATATTAATAATTATCTACAGCAGGTGTTAGCGCTTACCTGATTTTCACTGAACTTGAAAATGCTAACCAGGATCAGACCCAGAGCAAAACAATGACAGACTTTCTGTATTGTTGCCAAGGAAACTACATGGACATGTTCATGAAGTCATCAGAAATTAGTGAGGAGCTGTGTGCATTTCCTCCTCTCCTATTTGTTCTGGTGAACCACATGAATAGTCAATGCTAACCATACAGGGTCAATGCTAACCATACAGATATCTGCAGTGGGCAGCATTTCATAGATGTGAATACTTTTGAAAGACTTGGGGACCTGCACTAATCACACTTGCAGCTCACATGGAAATGGTTGCATGCAAAGCTAGGCTTTCAAATGCAGACAATCTCATGTGTTGGGCTGAACTTGCAACAGTATAATGTTTGAATTGGGCTTGTAATTTCCAGGTACAAAGTCACCATGGAACTCTCACTTAAGTGTTGCCTGAAAGAAAAGCAATATTTGTGGATGGAGTGAGAATGCAACAGTGACAATGTCACTATCTAACCTCAGTGGCTTGCTCAGAGCTCCATCTATTTCTCATTCCAATCTGGGGCTAGAAAGTTTTGCTGATTTGCATAACATAAGAGCAAATGGAAACAAAAGTCTTAGTAGTTAACAGCAAGTTGCTGTCAGCCTCAGTTCCCCAATCTAAGAATGTCTAGAGTATTTAATATGGTCAAGAACTACAATCCATAGGAATATGCTTGGTATCACCACCCTTTCCCCCACTCTGTGCACGTTTCAGGTTTTTTTCATCCTGTCATCCCTCGCTCAACTTTAACTTTGATTTAAGTACAGATTTTCCATAGATTTTCCACTTATCCATCTTGTTCCAGCTGAGAAAGGAGAAGGAAAACCAATATTTCTATATTTTGATGATCTCATTTTTTAATTGCCAAGTGACTATGTTTGCTTACTTATTAATTTAGTCTATTTTTATTTCACTTCCTGTACCAATGCACTTTGAAGAGGTTTACAAAATATAATATGCAATAATAAAAACAATATATTACAAACATATAAAGGCATATTCATTTAAAAGGTGTGTGGGAGAAAAAAAATACCACAGATCCATTCATCCAACATTTCTACAAGGAATGGTTGGGTGAAGACAAAAATGTTCAGCAGATACCAAAATATGTAGTAATAGGTGCTTCATAAATTTAAGGAGGAGAGCATTTAAAATAGTAAACTCCACCATGGAGAAGGGCCACCTGTAAGCAAGCCCCAGATGGCACTCTTCAGCTTTTGGGACACACAGCAAGACCTCTGTTGGATGGTCTCAGAAATCACCTGTGTCTATGATGGGGAAGGTGGTCTGTCAGTTCACATCCTTTCTCTGCATTAGCAGAATGTGGAATCTTAACCACGCTTTGATCACTATATTTTCTTTATTTAAGTAATTTAAACAGTACTATCTACAAAATGATTCTTTCTCCTTACTTTAGATCTGAGGCAGAAGAACGTAGTGCATCCATTATTCTTTGACCCTGATTTCCAGTTCCAACTAACATAGCTAGGAATGAGATTATGGGAATTGAAATCCAGTAACCTCTGGAGCCTGATAAGCTTTAGACAGAGGCCGCTTTATTATCTTTGAATATCAGTTCTTTCTAATTCTTTTTGATAGATGGTGATGGAAAGTGGAGATTGGCTTGCTGGTGGTGATCTCCTGGTACTAGAGAGAATAAAGTGGAATGATGGACTAGACCAATACCGCTTGACTCCCTTGGAGCTGAGGCAGAAGTTTATGGAGATGAATGCAGGTAGTTGTTTGTATACGTAAACCTCTAATTACATGGCCCTTTTCAGTTCATGTGTTTCTGATTCTCCCAGTGCTGTGTCCCTTGTATTTCAGATGCAGTGTTTGCTTTCCAGCTGCGCAATCCTGTGCACAACGGACATGCTCTACTGATGCAGGATACTAAACGTCGGCTGCTAGAACGGGGCTATAAGCATCCAGTGTTGCTCCTACATCCTCTTGGAGGATGGACCAAGGATGATGATGTGCCCTTGGACTGGCGCATGAAGCAGCATGCTGCAGTGCTAGAAGAACATGTCTTGGATCCCAAATCCACTGTGGTTGCAATTTTCCCTTCTCCTATGTTGTATGCTGGCCCAACGGAGGTATGGTGTTTAGTTCCCCAAACACCTAACATTATTTTTTTTTCTCTTACTGTTGTTCTGTTGTACAGAAATAGTAGGGGAAGAGTGAAAACCTTTTTATTTTCATTTCTGTCTCTCTTGCTCCCTGGCCTTTTGTGTCCTGCCAATATTTAGGCTGACCTTCCTCCAAAGGGCTGGTCATTTTCTTGCAGTTTCTATGAAACACACAATTTTTGGCAATTCAGAATAATACCAGTATAACCAGCTGTGCTTCTTCAGAACAAAAGGCCTACCTAGCTCCTTCCTTTTAGGTGATGCACCTAAATCTTCAAGGACATTTGGAAAAGTGTAGTTCAAGGATCTGCAACAGAATGTTCACAGCTCCCATATGAACAGCATACTCCTATGCAGGTTTACTTAAAACATGCTGTGTGGAGAAAGGCTTATATCCATGTCAGGTAGCATAGTTAAACTGTAGGAATTGTAGGAGGAAATCATTAGAGTTAAAAAGGTTTGAAAGAAAATTATAAACTATAAATGTATGGACTTATACATTTTGGTGAAACATGGGCTGCATTTAATAGCTGACTAAAATATGTGTACGATCGATTGCAGAGGTCCCCATATTTTTGGGATCAGTGTGCATAGTTGAACCTTTGAGGGCACTGTCATAAAGGGATGGATTTGATAGGCATGGCCAGTCACAGAACTCCTGTTTGCCCCAGGGCAAATTCATGAGTTTCCTCGTTATCTTCTCTAGCTTCCAAGGATACTCTCTACTACTTCCAATTATTTCTGCCTATTTTTTGGACTAGAGGACACAGTCCCAAACAGATCATTGAATTGTATCACCTATCATTTTTATTTTCTGATGGAGAAAGGAAGCATTCTTGGGAGTAAAATTTATTTCTAATTTTTAAGGAAGGACTGTAGAATAAGTAATGTCTGAAAAATTGGAATCTGTAGTCTAGAGGAATAAGTTAGTAAAACCAAGGATTAGTCAGATAAGGGTTTAAAATGAAGATGACCATTTGTTTTGACAGGGAAAGATTAGTGCTAAGACAGAGGACTATGAGGCCATTATTCATGGACTTTCTTCTACATGAAGCAAAGTATTTTCTCTCAAAGTGAAAATTATTAGAAGGAATGTAAGAAGTAGCAAACTATTATCTTCCATAGATCCTTTTTCTTTCTGACAATGGGCAAGAAAGTGATGATGATGATGATGATGATGATGATGATGATGATGATGATGATGATCTGAGAAGTCCTATGTTCTGCTGGAGCTCCAACAGTCGAAAGGAAATAAGGGAGAAACCATGGACATATTACATTCTCTTTCCCAGTTGATTTTTTAAAAATTTATTTATAGGAATTCTCTCTTATTTAAGACTATCAATAAGGGGTAATTAATCTATGACAACTTTGGAACAGACATGGTTTGGGGTATAGCAGAGAGCCAGGACTCTTGAGTGTCACCCCATCTTGGTACATCCCTTTTTGATATCAGAGTTTGATGATGTGAGGGATCTGCCTGGAAGTTTCCAAAGTGATAAAAAGGGGGATTTCTGATATCAGATCTCTCTCTCTTATTACAGTATCAAAATATTTTAGATATATGAAATAGTATCAGTGTGCATGAATCTTCTTGAGATTAAATCTCATTCAGTTTTTTGAGGCCCCCAAGTAAGTGGGTATAAGATTGTAGCCTAAGGTACCTTGAAGCACCCACCCATCCACCTTCTTTATAGCACACGGATGTTCATTCTTGTGGCAGGTCCAGTGGCACTGTAGGTCTCGAATGATTGCTGGTGCCAACTTCTACATTGTGGGTCGAGATCCAGCAGGTATGCCTCATCCAGAGACCAAGAAAGACCTGTATGAACCCACACAAGGTGGAAAGGTGCTTAGCATGGCTCCAGGACTGACCTCTGTGGAAATAATTCCCTTCCGAGTAGCTGCATACAACAAAGTACAAAAAGCAATGGTTTTCTACGATCCCGACAGGTAAGTAATAATAGCCAATTACAACTCCCATAGTTAGCACTTTCGCACATAAGGCTGTGTCCTCATTGGTACCCAACCATTGGAGCCGTTGGAACCAAGATGCCTTCACATCCTTTTTTTTTCCTGCTGTGCCCACATGAATTCGGCTTCATTTCATCCCCGGCTTGTGAGCGAAACAGGCTTCATTTGTCCTTAGTGTTAAATCAGTATTTTCCCCATTACTCTTACACTATTCAAGAGCATTTCAAGGTATGGAAAATTTGTTAAGCTTTATTATCCTTTACCTCAAAGAGTAGTCAAGAGATGCAGAATGACTGAAACCAGAGGCAACAGAGGCAAGATGGGGATGAGAACAGCAAATTTCACACTAATATAGTCATCTGCCAACAAGAGTGGGTGGACAGCACTATAATTTGGTATTGGGAAAATGCTGTTAGTGGATATTTGACAACTTACCTACGCAAATATGGTTATTTACATTATAAAGTCAAGAGTAAACTGGTGCCTTCCAGATGTTTTGTATTTCAACTCCTATTATCTCTAGTGTGGGGATAACAAGAGATTGTGATTGTGAACATCATGATCTAATATATTGGAGGACAATTTTGCTCTCTATATTCTTGCTACTTAGTTTGCTGAAAACAAGGATAGTCATTTCATGTTGGCCACATTCACAGATCATGATGGACACAATGGACATTACAGATGTGTAAGAATTGTGGCCAATTTTAGGTGCATCCACTTTTAATGGACCACTGTTTCTTATGTGAACTGGATGGGGCCCTAATATTATTTATTTATTTATTTGTTTGTTTATTTATTTATTTTATTTGTCCC